GCAATCCGTAGAACCGCTTTAAATAAACGTACAGCAACCTGACTGCAAAACAGATCGCTAATAGCAGGGACTCCGGCGTGAGCGAAGACTAAGTTGGGCCCTAAACCCTGAATCCCAGACTGGTAGAAACCAGAACGAGCAGCTTAGGGTCTTGGATCTAGGATTCAGGCTTCATGTAGGGTCAGTAATTCCGGGCTGCTCTATAGTATAATTATAATAGGGAGCCCTATGGAATAATATTCGTAGTTATTCAGCCCCCGCCCATATTAATTCAGAGTTTAGGGTCCTCGGATTGCGGTTCAGGTTTCCGGTCTACGGATTTCAACCCTAAGCCCGAATGCAGGCTTCTACAGATTCTACAGTACGCGAATCGGCCTGGATGCCTGAACACCAGGACTTAGGATAAGGGGGACCCTTTGGGGTGTAGACCCTCTCAGCACGGTCCCGTTTAAGAGAGCCATAAGTAGGCTTAAAAAAGGTCCCCTTTAAGGGGTCTCACTACTACCACCTCGGATTCTATACTATCATCAAGAAGACCTTGCAGAAAAAAAGAGAAGCTACGTACCACCGCAAAGAACCTCCCTAAACCCTAAACCCTAAACCCTAAACCCTAAACCCTAAGCCCTAAACCCTAAACCCAAAGCCCTAAGCCCTAAGCCCTAAACCCTAAACCCTGAACCCGAACACCTCGTCTGCTTCATCTTCTTCGGGCTCCTCTGGGAGGAAGGCTGGGGCGGAACGCAGGGGAAGGAAGACCTCCTTAAGGGGAAGATCCCATGTATATAAAAGTTTAGGGTTTAGGGTTTTAGGGTTTTAGGGTTTAGCATTTAGGATTTTTGGGTTTTTTCTGGCTTTCGGGTTTTTTTCGGGTTTTAGGGTTTTTCGGGCTTTCGGTTTTTTCGGGTTTTAAGGTTTAGGGCTGTAGGGGTTCGTGCTTTAGGCTTTCGGGTTTCGGGTTTCGGTTTTGGTATATTGATATCCTGGTAGTTGAAGACTCTGAACCTCTAAACCCTAAACCCCGCTTCGCTTCGGGCACTGGAAGGGGGGAAATAGAAGATCGTTTGGAGGTACAGTTAAACCATCATTAAAAAGGAACCCGACGCATCCATGAAGTACATATAACTGTGATGTACAGTCCTCAGACTTCCGCTCAGGCTGGAACCATACTACCAGTAAGCCCTAACCCCCCAGGTACCTACTATATAGTAGGGTACTAGAGCCCCTAGAGCCCTATATAGTTGGTTCTTGGAGGGTTAGGGAAGTTTAAGAACAACTCTGGCCCACATGCTCAGCGTCCTCGATCTTCGGTGGAGTCTTACTTTTCTTCACCTGGCATTTCCAGTCTATGCAGGAGCAGCCTGCGACACCCCGTGAAACAAAGCTGCTGCTTGCTTCGTGTTTGCTAAAGGCTTGTTCAAACAAGTGGGGCCGCCGGTGGCGGTTCGGGCTCATCATCTTCTTCTTCCTCCTCCTGCATGCCGGCACGCACAAGACTGCCTTTGGGGTGCTTGTAATTTGCCCGAGTAAAGTCTTGACATTCAGGTGCGCAAAAGTGCTGCATTCCTCTCAACAAAACTGTGTGTCGTTTCGTCATCATTTATCGAACTATTGCTGTTGCCGTTCGCGATAATTGCCACGGTGATGTTGCGGCGAGTTGCCTTAGTGGTGATGATGATGTTGATGATGCTTGTGGCGCCCATGACAATGCCAATGAACTCGAGTTTGGAGTCTTCAGTCTGGTCCAAGGAATAGTACTGGCACAGTACATGAACGGCCGCGGGTCCATCTCCGCCACTCGGGGCTGCAATTTTGGGTATCGTTCCGGAATAGTTCTGTCCAAGTTAGGGATGCCGTCTCATCTCCAAAATTTCATCCCGACAACCTCGACACCTAACCAAAACTCCCGACACCTCTGTTGAAAGAAACCAGGAGCCAAGGGTTACAATGGCAACATTGCTGTGTTGAGGGTAATCGTCTTGAAGGCGTGCCCTGCCGCTTTACAGGTCACCGCTAGCAACTGCCAGCTTCGACAAGCGCCCGAACCAATATACAATAATTTTCACCCCATCATATATATATATATAT